ATAATACCATGAGTGACAAGCATAAAACAAGTGCATAAGTATTCTCCAGTATTAAGTAGAATTACATGTTGATAGCATTTCAGATAATTGTATTAAGAAATCTTTCAAATTTCTAAAATATTATTAAAACTAACCATTGAAATCAAAGACTTCAAGTCAAGCTTTGATCCTCATCAGCTTCAATAAGAAATTCAGCAGAATCTTCTACTTTATCAAAAAAAGATTCAAATGAACCATTATCTGATACTGGAATTTTAGAAAATTGTATTTGATATGCACGATAGCATACAAATTGATACATTTGTTTATAATATGCATCGTAAATTGGCTGTGTGAGATATTTATTTATGATACTATCAATGCTACTAAAGAATGTTTGTATGATAAAAGGTTGTATGTACTCTAATGTTAAAGCTTTTCAGATTGAATAACAATTATTAATTGACTCAAATTCTAACTGATTTTCAAGAGATTTTTAAACTTGTAAGAGAGAGAAACTTGACTGTACAGCCTTTTTTATTAATGCATTTTCTGATTTCACATGCTGTGTAGATTGCATTCTCACTGTGAAATATTGTGATATAAAGCATTTTACCTAAGTATGCTTTCAATTCAATAGCATTGGTTATATATTTACTTCTTATCTCATATTTTTCAATTATGCCTTTGGTTCATTTTTCAAATATATTTTTACAATAAGAGCGTTGAATTCCTTTAAAATCTTTAAGAAATTCTTAATAAAGTGATGATCCTAAATATGAACAAAGATTTTTGGAAGATTTTGATAGAGATGGTATAAACATTGCATATGATAAGTCTTTGAAAATACTATAGAAATGGCTGCAATCATTGCAGGATCAGCATCAGTAACAAATATTAATGGAGGAATTTCACATGCTTCAAGATAATATTGAAGTAACTATTTGTATGATTCTTGTCTTTCATCTTACATGAATGTTTGAGCTGCTAATCTACTCTTATTATAGTTATTGATTAATATGAAGAGACTTAACAGATAGTTATATTTATTCATTTTTGCAGTATTGTTGTGAATAATTATATCATAAAATTTTGTTCACCTTTCACGCTGCTCTGATGATATTCAGAAAATACCAACTAATCAGTTACTTGTATTATCTATTAATGGCTTTACAAACTATGCAGGATCATTAGCTTACAATTCAAAAAGCTTTATTAATAGAGATGCTGTTTTCCCTAAATTCAATCCCTTTTCTCATTTAATTCTTTGAATTGCATTCCCTAGATCTTGAGTAAAAAATATACAATCAGAATACTTTGGTTGAAGAAGGTACCTAATTGTTCCTACATCACATCAAACATGCAAAATATAAAATTCTATCTGTTCCATGATTTCTTCAGAAAAATTTTTATAAGTAGTAGAAAATTTCACAGTTTCAATAGAAATCTCATAGTTGTGTTCATTATTAAATGACGTTACAGTTACTATTGGTAAATTTGATCATCTATTAATGTTTACTTATCATATGCAACCTTACTTTTTGCTTTCTTTACTCTTTTCTTTACCTAATATTGGTCTTGAATGTTTTTCAACATACCTTCTTCCCAAATCACACTTAAATACCCTTTTTCTACAAGTACCATCTGAAAATTTTTTAGTCTTGTACTTAAAGATGATAAAGTTATTTTGAAAAGTGTATTGTTTTATAAAATGTACTGTGATTTCCATAGAGTGAAACTTAGTTCCCAACTCAATTAATCAGAGTATTGATTGGTGAAAAACACTGTTATAACCTTCAAATTTAGAGCCTAATACATCTCTAAAAACATATTCTTTTTCATCATTATTATTATTGGTAGGTTCTATAAAGGATGCAGCATCGCAGAACATGATTAGCATAGGCACAAAAAGTAAAAAAACACAAATGTTTGACAAGCAAATAAAGACCTTTCATAAAGGCTTCAGAGGTAAGCATGTTTATAATATTAGAGCAGATGGAGTGGTCATTTATTACTTGCGATAGATATTAAAGTGGTACTAAAAATTTTTGAGAAAAAAAAGCTCAAAAAAAAATTCAAAATACCACCGGTTAAAGAAATTGGAGAAAGAATTTTTGGAAGGAAAAAAAAACTCCGAAGGAAAAAAAAAACTTTGGAGAAAGAACTTTAAGGAACACCACTAGTCAAGAAAACTTCAAAGAAATTGGAAAGAATTTTTGGAGGAAAAAAAAAACTTTGGAGAAAAAAAAACTCAAAAGAAAGAAGCAAATTGTCAACACCAGTAAAGAGGACTTCAAAGAAAAATGACTTTCAAACTTCTCTCTTCAAAAAAAAATATAA